GGGTACAGTCCAATACGCCCCCGTACATATAGCCCAGTGCGGTCGGGTACAGTCCAATACGCCCCCGTACATATAGCCCAGTGTGGTCGGGTACAGTCCAATACGCCCCCGTACATATAGCCCAGTGCGGTCGGGTACAGTCCAATACGCCCCCGTACATATAGCCCAGTGCGGTCGGGTACAGTCCAATACGGCCCCGTACAAATAGCTCAGTGCGGTCGGGTACAGTCCAGTACTGCCCCGTACAAATAGCTCAATACAGTCGGGTACAGTCCCAAATACCATAGTACTTCCCCATATATCCACGTGCGGTTCTGTACAGACCCTTGAAGCACAAGGTTGACGTTGTGTAGGTTCCCCTCACTCTGGATGTATTTTATCAGACTTCTGTTCTCCAAAAGCATTTGTGCCTCAGCTCGGAAGCAACCTTAGACATGGAGGGATGCAGCAAAGGCAGGGACACCGTTTCAGGTCATCTTCTGCTCAGTTGCTGCTCAACATCTCCTATGCAGCTTTTGTTTCTTTTTTTTGTTTTTTTTTTTTAATTTGATGTGAGTGGATTGACCAATAACCTTTAACCTCAACACAAGAAAATAATATCCCCAAAAAGATGAGGGACGTTTTACAGCTGAATGCTGTCTGAAGCAGAAAATACATTTTATGCATGAAGCTCCAGTGTAGCAGAAGCTGGTTTCATTAGTGACAGCGCTGTGTCTGCCAGGCTTTGAGAAGCTCCCCCAAGCCCACGGGGTCAGTGCGGGGTCAGGGGTGGGGAGCAGGGTGAGCGGGCGGGAGGCCGCCTGACACTGAGTGGCAGATGGACTAATCTTCCCTGTCAAGTTCAAGAATTAGATAAACAACGACAAACGCGGCTTTTTAAATGAACATGTCACCACTGCTTTCTTTGATAAAGGGCCTCTTCGCGGAGCCATTACCGAGCAGCTCACGCTTAATAGGCGGCCGAGCTGGAGATGGCCGGCACCGCTGCCGTCCGGCGTCAATCTGCACCCTCATTTCTCCGCTTAACAAGGCCGCTTCTCTGCTCGGATTATCCGAGGCAGAACGACGCATACAGAAGCGACCCGGACCTACACCCTGAACAATAAGCCATGTACATATAACTGTGATGCACCATTTACCTGCTGAATAACAAACGCAAGACTCATCTCATGGGGTTTTATCCTGGGAGCAAAAGATGCCCTACGACTCACACAGCATAAGACGTTCACCAGGTTTACGTTCTACAAATAAATTCATTCAGCCGCTTCACCAAGATCCACAATCATATACAGTCTGAAACCTGCCGGAGCAGCAGAGAAACGTTAACTAACTACTTCTGAGCGGACATATGGAAATAAATGTCGCACTTGAGATTATGTAGGACTCAAGGGTTTGACAATCCAGCACAATTTAGTCACATTAATTACACACCAGAGTTTATTTGTAAGAAATGGTGAAGCCCGTTCAGTATCCAGTGTTCCTCCGCACTGGAGGTCTGTTCATACCTCCAGTAAAGAGACACAGCGGGATAAAGACACTGGTCCCCGCAACAGGCGCCCTGCCGTCTGTCTAATTAAATCCTCAGGCTCGGTGTCTTTTTCTTTTTTACTCATACAAGCAAGATCAATATCAGCTGATGGCCGCAGCCTCGCGGGGACTGTCACCGGCCAGGTACACATCAAATGAAAAATTAATGCAGACAAATACCAGATATGGCAGAGTTAATAAGGGTCACATGAGCGGAATCGGGGCAGCTGCAGAGCGAGTCCAACCTCAGAACCCACACTATACCCGGGGCAGCAAACTTTCTTTGCTGGTGGGGTGGGTGGGGGGGGGGGGGGGGGGGGGGGGGGGAGTGAAAGGATTGCGTAAGTAAGCAGCTCAAACAGCCACTCCTCAGTGCTTAATGGAGTCTGAGAACGAGGGTCAGCCATGACAGCCCACCCTCGGAAAACAAAGATAGACAGAGTTTCCGGAAGACACGGCCCCTCTCCTCCAGCGCAGGTCCGGTCCGGTCCGGCATGGCTCCTGAGGGTCGTGCAGGACCCCATCAATCCTGCCGCACTGCTAATGGGCCGACCGGCCAGCCGGACAGACCCTGATAGACTGAGGTTAATTACTCTCATATGTGCGGGAGGAGAGGATGGTGCGTTGCCGTGTGCGCACTGTGCCCATCACATCAATCACCCGCGGCCTCTGCGGAGAGAGAGACTCACAAGGCCAGATGAATGACTTTAATATCCAACACCAAGTCACCCCTGCTCTCCACGCTAACCCTAACAGGTTATCTACCGCTCCGGACTTTAATGAAAACCAAGCATAACTGAGGGATGACTTCAGTGACCCCTCCCACCCCCCACATCCCCTTGCCCCAGATATACACAAGGGCTAGGACAAATTCCTTGATCAACTCAAGCCATTGCC